ATTGCACAAGTTCTTCGTCACCGGATCCTGTACCATCGTCTCCGCCACGTGTACAATTAAGAAGCCCTTATGAACAGATTGGACACTTGAAGACGTATTCGACGTAGACGTGCTTCCCAGATTGCCATTTAAAGTGACTGTCACGTGATTGCATGGATGTGTTTCATCCTATGATGTCAATATGAATCTCTAGGATTGCGGTTTCATTTGAAGCCGACTAACTGCAACCGCAATAAGGTTTAACAAAAATGGAACACTCTTGTCAGGTTTCAAAGGATTTCATTACATGCACTTTTTAAATGTGCATACAATCACGTACGCGCATAACCGATTGATCAAAGAGGAGAAATTTCATACTAGTTTGACATCGATGGAGGATTGTCTGTCAACCTTAAGATGAGTGGAAAGAATGAGCCAAGAGCGACTCCACTAGAGAGCACCTTAACAAGATTCTGTTTTAGAGAGCTCTCATGGTCGCTAGCACGAGGACTAGCATTAGGTCTTACATAAATATTTTTCTTACTGCGAGACCTAAAAGAGGAAGGACACATGGAGCCGTCCAAGAGCTCCAGAATCTCACAAAGTACAATCGAAAAGCACACCGTTTCATTCCTCACACGCTGTACTGTCCTAGCCTTATCAGTAGTATGGATCTTCGTAAGTATACCCATACTTGTCGTCGTCTTGGTGATAGTGGTGATCGCCTGGATGGTATACCGTCTCAATTCATGTTGTTCTCACATCTTCGGAAGCTGTCCAGAGTTTCTTACTACGACAGAACTCTTCTGGCTCCTCACAAGCAAAGACTCACCATCGATTCTACAGTGCCTTATCAAACTTGATAGTTATGTCACGGTAAACTCAGTGCGCGACGTCATATCCAACAGAATTTCGAATCCAAACACCGCAGGTTCGGATTCCTTTCTGCGGCTTCAGAAACGGTTAGTGAGGACGTGGGTGTCTTGTGCTTGGTACCGGGACAACGATTTCTCCTTGGAGAATCATGTGACTGAATTGGCTGGGAAGTTTAAGTCTGAGGTAGACGTCGAAACGCATATCGCCCTCATGACCGATAAGGAATTTGAATCCGAAAGGCCACTCTGGAATATCCAATTGCTTCAGTGTGGTTGGGAGAACAGGACCTATCTTCTTGTGCGTGTGCATCCGTGTTTCGCCAATGGAAATGCCTTTCTTGATCTTCTGTGTCAGCCTGTAACAGAGAGTGTCCATTCGCGCAAACCGCCAGAAGAACAGAACTCGTCGCATCCTTTATTGAGCATCATCAGTGCTGTGCTCTTTGGACCTTTACTCATAGCATATTTTAAATTATCCTCCAGAAGCAACTCACCCAATGTCTTTCCCGGAATGAGTCCTAGCGGTAAACATGCAATCGCTTGGTCTCGTCCCGTCAACTTTCAGCAGGTCCTCGAAAGTAGAGTTGTAGCGAACTGCCACATATCGGACTTCGCGTTATGTGCCGCTGCGGGTACCGTACGTTCCATCTTGCCACATGCTACCCTGCAGCAAGGCTCAGAGACCTTCATGACCAATCTTCTGTATAGCTTCCAAAGATGCAGTGACGCTTGCGTAATCAGTTGTACACCGGAAGTGCCTTTGGATGCGCAATTCGCCACAATCCCTGTGCAGTTGCCATTGCGCACGGAAGGAATCATCCCAAGGTTGTGGGACACGCTACGCACCACCAGAACCCTACAGCAATACTGCGCTCAGTCCATCTCCTGCGGCGTCCTCCAGATCCTGACACTTCTCATTCCATCCAGGTTCTCAGCTCTCTGGCTCTCAAAGACACTCGCTAGTGGTCAGTGCCTGGTCAGTCATTTCCAATCATCACAGACGACCATGTCCTTGGCCGGAGCCACAGTGTTAAGCATTGTCCAGTGGTTTCCACCAGGGAGAAATTCTTTCATGAGCTTTTCGGTGCAGATCTATAACAATGAACTTCGCGTCGGCGTAGTTGTCGACACATGCTTGTATGCGAAGGCCAATACCATGGCCGAACAATTTGCAACTGAGGTAGGTCCTTTCGCGACAAATTTACCTGAAATTTCAATTGCATACGGATGTGAGTTGACCAATAAAACTTCATTTAACAGGGTTTTTACCGTTTCCTTAAGTGCTGACGGATCCCCCATCCCACTTTTCATAGAGTACGTAATTGACGTATGTTTCGTTCCGCCCCACTCCCCTCCACTTAATATTATTCATTCCTGGATACGCCATTGGTCTGACAGGGGTAAGAAGAAACTTGGAAATGTATAATATCTGAAAGCAGCACTATGTCTCCTCTCTACTGCTTGAGTCTGCATACATGGTAGAATCTTCAAGGCGGGCGAAATAGCCCACTATTCTCTTTTTTTTTCTTCAACATATTTTTTTTTCTATTTATTTTTGTAATAAACAATCTACTTCTAACTTTGTCAAAAACATCGAAGGCATTTCTTGATAATCCCTCTGCATACACCCGATGTTTTCTTCCTGAATCATACTCACATAATATTAGATGTTAATTATTTTTGGACTTGTCATACTCTCTTACAAACCACACATTCGTGACAATATTTTATTTCAATTTTGTTTTGTTTTAGATCGACACACTCATCACATTTTTGGCGCACCGCCGGGTCCTTCGGAAACATCGACACAAAAAGAGGGAAGAATTTGAAGACATCGATGAATTTGTAAGTATTCTTATAAGCCGTAGCATGGAAACCATCAGCGGCGTAGAGATGGGGGTGGTACATAGGGATGAGTTGGGGGGGGGGGGGAGGAATGGAAGGAAAATGATGAAACATTAAATCTCTAATGTCAGTTCCCAATCGAAGACCTTGTTGAATCGCTTTTCATTAATCATGGTGATGATAAAAATTCACAGCAGATATAAATATCATAATGATGATTATTTGAAGCATTTACATGGCGCCAGATTTCGTTTGGTTTGTGTGGGTATTATACTCCACATCAAAAAACATATATGCATACACATAAATATATTTTGTAAAGAGATCGTTAAAAAAAGAGAATACAGATAGTTTGCCTCATCTTAAGAATATCTAAAGGCGCAGGACGTTCAAAGGCGCAGACATCTATTCACACTAATTAGATTAAGGGACTAAAATCCGTGCCCCCTCCCATAGTGACAGTGCCCTCGCAATATCTAGGTTACCATGGTTACAACGCTTTCTAGCCTACAAAACGAAACTGCCACGTATGCACCTGCTACCACTTCTTATTCTGATTTGATAACACGTAATTTTCAATTACAAGCATTTTGCTTGGGCCTTATTATTTTGATTGTATATAATGGATCGGAACAGCACTTTATAATTTCCCTTAGGTGTGTTCTGCAAAACACTGCATTTAATTAGATTTCTTGGATTATGACGGGGGAGGGGGAGGGGGGTGTTCGGATGCTTAACAAAAAATAAATTCCCTTTTGCCTTTGAATTTAACGAAAAGTATGCATTAAATAGCAGTAACCATCATACATACATGTCCTTGTCCCAGTGGCGGATTCAGGGGGGGGGGGAGGGGGCTTGGTGGCCCGGGCCCGAGCCCCCTCCCCTGGCAAAAAACTGGTGAAGACACGTTAATTTTACTTCTTTTAAAAAAAAAAAGGAGACGGGCCCCCCCCCCCTCCCCTGTTCAAGGAGGGGTGAGTGTGGTTTGAATCAAAACAAAATATTGGGCACTTTCCCTCCTCCCTCCTCGTTGAGCACAAAAACAAACAAAATGTAGTGATCACTACCCCGACAGGACGCGATTACCCGATGCTTCGAAGTAAGCCAATTAAAAGCGGATTGAAAAAAAGATATGAATCTAAACGTTTTGATTTCACGAAAGTGCAAGCACAACAATAGGGTATATTCTTTTATTTGTGTGTTTGCATTCCACTTCAGGTTTAGGGCTACCCTATATGAACGCAAGATTTATTTAGGTTTCCCTGGGGTGATGCTCGTCTCTCACCCCTGGATCGGCTACTCTGTCTTTTAAATCGCTTGTACAACCGATAATGTGAAAAGGTTTCCTTCGAATCAAATTCATGTTTATTATCGTGAACGTGTACTGTTTGAAGAAATGGTACAGTTACCTAGCTTTTAGTGAGTCAAATACACTGTTGCCTATAAATTATGAAAAGTTGTTTCCTTACCTCCTTAAAATGCACTGTGCGCCGATTACGGCTACCGGAGCTAAAGCTAGGGTAATAATTTCCAAAGCTCTTTGAAAGCGCATAGAGACGTTACATAATGTGATATGCGCTATACAAGGACCGAATATTATTATTTTTATTTAATGAAATGATTGTGGTAAGCTGTATTATCCTTAATAGATGAAGCTTATATTTGCTCAGAACTTGTTTGATCAATCTGTATGACTCTTCAGATTTATCAATAAAGTCCTAACTAGTTATAGGGGTTTGTATATTAAGAATACATGTTATTGTCACAATCATTTTATCCAAAGAGGTAGAGAAATAACATTTCAAATTTTGGGGGAAAAGCTTGACAAAAGCTTGCCTTTAACGTCCCTGATATGTGGTCGCTTTTACATTTACATTTATTTTTTGTTTCACTACTAGGATGACTACCTCGATCAGGAGAACGACCAGGATGTGACATTCGACGATGAGATCTGCCGACCCTGCTGGTCCCAGCGAGGCTCCGACATCACCCAAGACGAGAACGACCAACCCCACTCCGGTCAAGAACAATCCCTCGAGATCATCCAACTCGACGAACCGTCTTCACCCGAGATCGTCGACGGTGGCGTTGGCGGCCGTCGTGATCAGCTTTTCATAAAGACGCACCACGCCGCGGTAGATGGCGAGAACCTATCAGGACGACAGGACGGCGTCACCATTCACGTGGTCAGCGAGGACGTACCAGCGTCGGTGATCTCCGTTGAGGAGGTTAAGAACGGAGAGCAATCCCCCGTTACCGGTGATCAACGACCACCGAATACTTCTCGACGAGAGAGTCACGGCATGACCGTGATCACGTCGGTGGCCGTCAATGTCACCGATTCCCCGCAGACATTAGACTTTTCGCCTTGCGTTGAGCGACGTCTTAGCGTTCCTGCTGACGTATGAATAACACGGATCATGTGACCAAAATGTGGAGGTCATCTTCAGGAGAAGACACGTGACTCATGACATTGACCTCTTTTGCGTAATCATACGAAAAGAGTTTTCTGAATAATATTTTTGCAAGACATGCTTTGATAGATTTTCTTGCCTGTTTATTTTGGGTATCAGAAGTGTATAAATAATACATGGATTTGTTACATTAATATGAAAATTTCGTTAAGGCAGGTTCAGATTAAATTCAGCTTACATTGATTTAAGCCCAAATTGTGTAAAAGCTCTGCATTCCCCATCTGAAGAGAAAATATGAGATGATTAAGTTTTCCCTAGTAGTAATGTTTTAAAGTATTATTGAATAACATTTAAGGTTTCTTAAAAAGTATTAATTTAACAGTACATGATTTCCGGAACGAGGGAGTGCATTTAATCTTCTAGACGTATGACGCGAAGGATGAAGGGACAGTAGCCCGGGGTTTTCTAAAGTTCCGATATTCGAGAAACTAACACCTCCAATACCGGCAACGAGGTGCCCGAATATCATCATATTCGAGAAGCCCAAATTATCTCACAGTTGGGCGGGAGTATGATTATGTGCTATTTTGGGGGAATGTTCACTCCAAAAAGTGTCAAACATTACATTTTTGTCTCAAGCTGCTGAATTAAATTTCGGACTTCCTTCCTGCCAAAAGCGACGCAGTAAGACCAATCTACTCTTTGATGTTTGATGTCTCCCTCTTGGCTTTGTAATTGAATATTAAATGGATTCGCAACGAGGTCAAAGGGGAATCCCCACCCCTCTCCCCCTTTCCTCTTCGCATTGCGAAAATATTGAATTTTAACATTGTTTTAACAACTAAAGAGATCAATTCGGCTGAATAAGACGGAGTGAATTTTTTTCAGTAGATAAATCAATAAACTGTAAAGTAAAGGAGGGAGACATGAACAATATGTATTGGAACGTGGGAAGAAGATGATAAGAGCTCCCCTACCACCACCACGACCCTTATCTACCCTGTGACTTTACTGTATGGTATTCAACTCCAAGGTGAGACCCTCCCTTCTCCCCCTTAGTCGATACTACCCCAAAGGAACCTGTTTTTCGTCACGCATCTTAAAGCAGTTTATTAAGTGATTGATAAAGCTAAGAAGATCGCTGCAATAAGTAGATAACCAAAGAAAATTCTATTTAACCATAACTTAATGCAATAGATTAGAGATAAATTTCATTTCATGAATTCAAGCTCGTATCAATATCATATTACATTTTCTGCTTGTTAAAAGAAAATTATGTGCATTAATATTGAAATATCCCGAGGTGGACAAATTGTGATCGAGTGGTTGGAGGATGTGAGAGGAAGGCGTATTGACTTCAAATCATTGTCCTTTTGTAATTTCCCTTTTTTTTCCTTGTTTCTCTCTCTCTCTCTCTCTCTTTCTTTTATTCTTTCTCTTCTCTTCTTCCTTCTCCTTCTCTTTCTTTCCCTTTCTTTCTCTTTATCTATTTCTTTCTTTCTCCTCTCTTTCTCTTTAATTCATTTCCCTTTTGTTTCTGTCTTTCTCTCTCTCTCTCTCTCTTTCCCTTATGCTTTCTCTTCTGTTGATCTTTTCCCTTTCTCTTTCTTTCTTTTTCTCTTATCTTTATTTCTCTTTTATTCTTTCTCTTCTCTCTTTTTCTCTCCTTCTTTTTTACTTTCGTACACCTTTCTCTTTCTCTTTTCATTCGAATGCCGACCGCTAATCTTTGCCGCAGAAAAAAAAGTACGAAATCTGTTTAATGTTGACCAAATGCACAAAGTATTTTTTTATTATTGCACTTTATATTATTCATGGACATTTGGAACTATAAGGCTAGAAAATTGGCATATTTAGGTACTTAATGTCTATGGAGATCAATTAGTTCCAATATATGTTTTATATTTTCTACACATATGTACTATTTAGGTTCTCAATAAATATTAAATAAGAACACGCTCTGTTTCTTCTTGTATCTTTATTCCGTTGTTGTTGTTGTTTTAGTTTTGTAGGCATGTATCATTCAATTATGAATATAAACGCCACATGTTACATACTCGGGCAGCTTCCTTGAAGGATCGAGAGGAATTCAATACTAAAAAGTATAACTCAATATACAAAATCAGGTACACTATAAACATGCAAATATGAACATTAACAAGATAAAGGCATACTTTCAACCTTTAAACGAGGCTGTTGACTACTTTGCGCAACTATGCCTCTGATTAATAAAACATGTCTTTGAAAAACATTTACCAATGAAAGTTCTATGTTAACAAAACTAACTATCCAATACAACAAAACCAGTTGTTGATAACAGTTCTCAACATTATAAGTAGCTTCATTAAAACTCTTTAATTGCATTGAAATAATAACAAGGTGACATAAAAACAATGAAAACAAATATTTCATCTTGGCAAGAATAAAATAATGATAATGATGATTATTTTGAGGGTTCAGTGACTGAAAGACGTAACTCCATATTTTGCCAAAATTAGTATTTGATATCAAAATATTCAGAAAAATGTGGGCTTTCCAGGAACTCCACCAAACACCCCCATTGAAGTCAATGGCTAGTGAAACATAGACTTAACTCCTTAAGGCCCAAGTGCTCAGTGGCACATATACCACTTTTTCTCAAAATGGAGTTATGCTTTGTGTCACTGACCCCTCGATTTGTGAAGGGCCATATTCATTTTGCAAAAGTGTTCAAGGCGCTGAGAGTGTAAAATATAAACTATGCTTAAATGTAAATTACAATAAATAGTACATAAACAATAGAAATAAGTGTAAAAGAAAGCACATCGAAAAAGGAAGTTGACATAAAAATACACTAGTGAGTGACATAGATGAAATGTTGAAATATTAAATTAATCAAAAGCAGTTTTGTACAGGCGAGGTTTGAGAGAAAATTTGAATGAGTTCACACTTGCTATTACTTTAAGAGCCTGTGGTAACTGGTTACATAGAACAGGGCCCTTTTTCATAAACATCATTATCAATAAGAAATACAAAATTCCTACGAAAATTTAGCTCTCAGCCAATCAGATGCCATGATTTCAGTAGCTTATAACAGTTATTGAATCTTGTTATTGATAACGATTTTGGTGAAACAGGGCTCTGATCCAGCTTGTGCAGAAGATCATTCCCCCATGCCTTTGCTGTTTTGGGAACAACAAGATAAGAGTTTGAAAATCTGAGTTGTAGAGGATTATAGAAAGTTTACAAAGTATAATTGTACCGGACAATAATTATATCCAAACTAAATAGTTGCTTTCCCAAAGGCAAGGTTGATTCAAGTTAAACCTTACCTTCCAAAATTGTCTTTAACATTAGAACTTGTTTGTTTACCAACAATAGTATCGTAAATAAATCATCCATACAAAAATTATCAAAATCACTCTGTGATGACTGTCATGGAAACTTAAATGTTTAAAACCAGTGAAAATCCATGATCAAATGGAATTATATACACAGGAGGAAGAGGAGAAGAAGGGTGAGAAGGAGGAGGAGCATGAGGAGGAGGAGGAGGAGGAGGGAGAGGAGGAAGAAGAAGAAGAAGAAGAAATTGAAAATATAAGTTGATGAAAAAGCCTTTCGGGAAGGCAAATAGCTCAATATAGTTTGCAAGAACATAATTTAATTGGAAACCAACTACAGGTACTAAATGAGTCGTACTTGTAATGACGAGAGACAACGCCCGAAAATGCCTGATGCATGTGTGGAGCTCTTTAATAGATCAGGAAAATACAGAGTCCCTTAATTATCATTATTTTGTTAATTTGAATAATCTAAAAACTCAGCATTTGAGTCACAAATTATACAACGTTTTTATATCACTGTCATTATGTTTTCGTAGCTACACTGCACTTTTCAAATTAAAAGACGAAGACAATGGAGACAATGGAGACAATGGAGAAGAAGGAGGAGGAGGAGAAGAAGGAGGAGGAGGAGGAGGAGAAGAAGGAGAAGGAGAAGGAGAAGGAGAAGGAGAAGGAGAAGGAGAAGGAGAAGAAGAAGAAGAAGAAGAAGAAGAAGAAGAAGAAGAAAAAGAAGAAGAAGAAGAAAAAGAAGCATATCCCAGGGGATGCTCAAGGCACCCACACATTACTATTTTTACCCTGGCTTTAGCACAGCTGCTCTTCAGGAGGGGAAATCATTCAAGGAATAAATATTATTCATACCAGGTACCCATTTACTACACCTGGGTGGAGAGTGGCAAAAGTACGAGGCTGGGACAAACTTTGTCATCCACAGCTTGGTGATGTGTCCACTACACCTCTAGCTTAAATAGCAAAAAAACAGCCCGCTTTACTTCAGGTTTTATTTTTCCTTGGTGAATGCACTTGGGACTGCTCCTAAGGTATCTCTGACCTGTCACTTAGGAATGAAGCCTTTTCTTTTTGGCATGACGGCTACAACAGACGACTCCCAGTTCCCTGTATTGTAATACCTTAGCAGAATATCAAACACTGCAATTTAAAAAGAAAAAATACATATACAAGTCAATTTACAGGGCATCGTTTTACAAAACCATAAAAAGTATAGGATCAATGACATCTCGACGCTGTCACTCTACTTCTAGCGTTTCACAGAACTTTAATACTGGATATACCAAACAAGCAAATATTCCAAAACGAACACTGAGTTGGTTTCTGGAAGAAGAAAACCCAGGACTCCTGCATTGAACTATTATTCCTTCAATTTCAGTGAAGACCTCCAAGCTTTCTTATATCATCAGCAAGAAAGTAGAGAATAACTACAAAAATTATTATGTTAAGTACCTTTAAAGCAAGCCTTTTTAACAATTAAAAAACAAACATATATATTCTTAAAGGTTTTGTGGAAATGTTCACACAGACATGCATTATGTTACAGAATCATGTATTTATTTTGCTTATAAGTTTAGGGGAAAGGTCCTCATGGACAGTTTTGAGAAACAGAGGCAAACATTATCCCTCCTACCTTCTCTCTTTCCCTAACCCTTCTTTTTATTGTCTTACTATCTCTCTCCCTACTCTGTTCTCTCTTCCTCTGTCTCGCGTGCACAAACCCACTCTCTCCTTCCCCACCCTCTGTCTCTCTTTTTCTCTCATTCTTTTCTTTTCTCTCTCTCTCTCTCTCTCTTGCCTTCTCTCTCATTCCCTTCTCCCTTTATCCCTCCCCCCTTTCACTCCATATCACCAGGCTTCTTCTTACCTTGGTTTATGGCAAGGACTTGGCTGAATGTTCCCCTCTCTGCATGCTTCATGCATCTTGATATAGGTAGTTTGGCAGTATGGAAACTTCTTTTTTTGGCAAGGTCAAAGGTCATATTCTGCATTAAAGAGAAAAAAGACAACAGTTTATTCCACCGTTTGCACTCCCTAAATTCTGATACAATGAAACATATAAAGACCACTCGAGGGAGACATGAAATATGGGCTTCACATTTATAAGCATAGGTTATTTAATGCACCTTTTAATGAAATGAAATGAAAGTTGAATTGACATTTATTGCCGTCATCATCACAATATATAAAAAGATAAAAGATGGACTATCATAACAGATAACAATATCAAAATTACATATAAATTGACATAATAACATTCAAAATATAAAGAAAATAACTTAAAACCGTAGGACAAGTGGAAAAAGGCGTCACAATTGAATGCACCTGGGCCTCGTTTCATGAAACCATCATGAGTCCAAGTTCACCGGCATCCCATTGAAACACATGTTAAACTTAATACACATATTTCGATGAACTTGTACTAATGACAGTTTCATAAAACACTGCCCAGGCACACAAGTAATAATAACATAGGGTGTTACAAAAAAAGGAAATGCAGAGAAATACTATTCAAGGGAAAAGGATGTGGCCTTTTCAGACAGGAGATCTTTCTATACAAGTAGCTGTAGTAATTGATGAATATTCTAGGCCCCGTCTTCCAAAGAGATGATATCAACCGTAACTATGTACATAAGAGATAGGAGACTGCAAACTTCCGATTGATTAGGATTAATCGCAAATCTGTGTAAGACGGGGCCCTGGTCAAAAGAATAAATAAATGACTTCACAAGAAACTTACAGTTAATACTGATTCATCGACCAGGCCACCAATAATATACACCTTGCTGTCCTGGATTTCAGTTAAAACTAAAATACAACAAAACAAGGAACAGAAGGGGAAAATCATTCTTGTCACATGTGAACTAAAAGAGAAACAGTGAATGAAACTCATTTGATGTTATTAAATCTTTTGTTTTGTTTAAATTTGGTGTAAATAATTACCAAACTAAAAAAAATATTCCCAGGGGATTATGATTTATTTTTCATAACGATTCCAGCTGACAAGTTTGATCTGTTACTTCTGGAAGTAATGTTTGTTGCTGGTAAAGGAAGTAACATGAATGATAAAGAGAAAAGAGAAAGATGGATTCCCTGAAATTTGATTTCAGGCTGATAGACCCATACAGGAATAAAAAATCTTCGCTTTGAAATATAATAATTAGAGATATAAATTAAAGTTGTTCTCTTTTCCCACTAACCTGACCAGACATGCACCAGCGAATAAATGTAGAAAAGGTTTTATAGTCCTAGGGGTGTTTCACAAAGATCCTAAGTTGAACTTATCTCTAAGTTGGTCTTAACAATTCCGGAGAGCCGTTAGCATCTATGAAAATGTTTTTGTAAAAGTTATATAAAATGTTGATTCAAATCATTCATATTTTCTATTATCAAGAAGATTTCATGTTCTTGATGTGGAATTTATAAAAAGTCTAAAATACTTGAATTTGAATATATTTAATGTTCAGGCTACAAATGGCTCTCCATAATTTTAGAGTTAAGTTTGACTTAGGATCTTTGTGAAACACCCCCAGATAAATGTGTAAAGCCTATGTGAGGGACATGTCATATATACTTCAATAAATGCCCTATATATCAACATCTCTTTTCTTACCATTTGGGGAATCAGGAGTGAGATAAACGATTTCTTCCTGAGAAAATATTGCACTGTAATGTTGACTGGTCTTGTTCATCTATGTAAATAAAAAAAACATAAAGATCCATGAAAGGTAAACAAAAAAAATAATCAGTGATATCATGAATGATAGTTTGCTATAGAGAGAGGTGGTGTAAGAAACAATTGTTCCAAGCTTTAAAAGAAAGCCCTATCTTTCAAAGTCATTATCCTCAATTCTTCTGGAACATACTTGTAGATCAACTGCTTAGAGCAGTGCAGAGCAGTGCAGAGCAGTGCAGAGCAGAACTGTCATCTTTGGAAATAACAGCTCAGATTTCAGTTTTCATGAACTAAAATCTAGTAATAAGATTGACAAAAACTGAGCAAATTCAAAATAAATATGTTGCCTAAATCTTAGACATTCAATAAATCTGGTCAATTGTCAGAAAAGGAAAAGTACCCATTGTTCAAAGGTTGTAAAACAAAAATAGAAATGAATTGTTGATTGACTAACGTTTATTCTGAAAATGTTTTTCTCAAGTTATGATCAACTTGAGGGTGCAGATCAATTACCTTCCCCCCTGCCCCCTCACAAAAAAAAAAACCACCTAATTTACAACCACCACCCACCACAACCAAACAACGAAAGAAAAGAGTGCACCTACCACATAGTGTTCAAATCCATCATTCTTCCTCAGTGATGCTTTATATATGCTGCCCTCTGTGTCCAGACTCGTCAGCCAGACCTGCATGGGTCTATCAGCTTGTCTGTTAGCTCCGTACACCTGTCTGATCTGACAAACAAGACCCCCGATCTCCTGCTCGTTTGCGAATAATGAGACACAAAAGCAAGCGAAATTGGGATCACTTTCAAATGACAACCGATTGCTTGGCATCAGAATTGAAATGAAATGCAGAATACAACTTGCACTGTAAATTTTTAAAAAAGAACTAGAGGAAAAAATAAAAGTACTCTGATAATACCTGTGACGATGTGCCTGTAAGGAGAACCAAATTTGTCTGACTGATAAATTATAATTGCCTTGAACAATCATCTTTAGTTTTATTTGATTCGGTGAGAATTTTTATGTCTGTGGTTACAGGAACGCAAGACTACCTTTAAATAGTACCTTCATTACTTTCATACATAGCAATGTTACTATTGTCCCAGAAAAAACAAACCGAGAATTATCAATGTTTTGCGTACATTTCCAACGAAACGGAGTTAAGTCTTTTGGCAACTCTGTTTGTTGCTACGGCAGGCAGCCAGTGAAAACGAATTTGTTTAATCAAAATATGGAAATGCAAGCATTACTTTAAACCAACAGAACCTTGTTATTCCTGGCTCATTTTTCCTGATTGAGGTGTCATAATATGAAAGGGCAGAAAATGAGCTTTCCAGAAATGTGATTTTTCTCTTTGCAATTTAGATACCGCCCGCCAAAGGACTTTTTGGTACCCTCTCTTCTAATTGTTTTTAATCACTCATGCATGAAATATGCATCATATGAGTTGCATCAAACAAAAGAGGAGGATCTAAGCTTTACAATTATGTGTCATTTATTAATTATAACTGTGATTGGGTCTAGGTTATGATAAAACAACTCTCGGTTTCGTTTTTTTCTGGGACACACTGTATTGGACCTCTGACCATAAACACACCCAGGGAAAAAATTAATATATCTTTTTTCGGGGGCTACTTTTCAAGCTTGCCTGCATGAAAATAACATTTTAAAATTTGATTTGCATTGAACTCTATGCAAATTTACAGGGCTCTTTTCTGACTTTCGGGGGCTCTTTTGGGCATTTTGGGGGCTATTTCACCCCGAGCCACTGCTTATTTTTTTCACTGAACACACCTTGCTTACCTTTTCACTCATGAGATGTCCAAGGCTGAGATCAATGCAAAGACGTGGCACTGAACCTTCGCGATCATCATTCACTGCTACCAACCTCTGGCGTCTCATAGCAGCTCGCTCTTTCCTTGTCAACTTTGACCTTTGCTCCTCGGCTGGGCTGGGAGAGACGGACTCCATCCCTCCACAGACTCATCCTAAACCTGGTGTTTGACACATCTGTGAGAGACAGAGAGAGAGAGAGAGAGAGGGGGGGGGGGGAGAGAGAGAGAGAGAGAAAAGAGAGAATTATAAGGCAAGGGGTAGAGATGAGAGAAAGAGAGATTGAAGATTGAGAGCAGAGTCAAGTGAATGAAGGACTTTTTTTTTAACACCAGAAAAAGTCAGAATGATAATGTCTACGTAACGTAGATCCTAAGCCGAGGCCGAGATTGAGAAGAAAAAGAAAACAAAAATTCACAAAATTTCACGAACTAGGGCCCCGGGTGCTAGTGTAATTTCATACCGCCATCAAGAGTGAAGCACACTCCGTACGAAATTCCTCAGCATGCACAACATAACAGAAAGTCTGATCTATCTGCCCAATTATGTATGTAAACTATAAATATGCCTAGAGTCTACATGATCTTGCGGTTGGATCTACCGGTATTTCAACAAGTCGAGGATCAACAACTGTTTCTACTGCGTTCCCACACGCTCATTATTGTGCTGGGAAATACAAGGCAAGATCAGAAAAAGTCAGTTTGAGATCATTTAAATGAAATAAAGTCCCGAATTTCGATGGCATAGGATACTTTTGGACGACACAGTTTTATTTACTAATAATAATACTAAACAAAATTTATCGTACAGTGATGAAAAATGCTTTAAATTCTTACCTGTTTCTCGCTTTGCGAAAGCTGATCTGGGATTGTTGTTGTTGTTCGTTTGGTATTATAATGGCTATTAGTCAAATTTGACTATTGTTGCCAATTTCATCGCATCTCTTTCTTTTAATGTCTTGGTAAAATTATTATTTCTTTCTTTCTTTTCCAATCTCATTTTAATGAGGTGAAAAACTGGAGGTGAAAAACGGTGTCTTCAAAGAAAATACGTAAAATGAAAAAAAAAGTGCGCTAGGTTTGGGGGAGGAGGGGGGGGGGGGGGGGGGGGGGGGGAGCCGCGGGAACTATACACCGATAGGCGATACAATTATGACCTCTACCATACTCTTCTAGCATCCTTCAGGCACAAAATTATTTTTATTTTTTATTACGATGACGATGCTGATGATGATAATGCTGATGATGATTGATGATGATGGTAATGGTGATGATGATGATAATGATGATGGTGCATTATGGTGATGGTGATGATGATGATCGTTGATGTAGATGGTGAAGATGATGACGCCCGGCCCCCCCCCCCCCCCCCCCCCCCCCCCTCAGTGTTATTTAGGGTACGCATATGCTCGTACCCTCTTTTTGAAAGCACCCCCTATCTGAGGACTGCCAACATTTCCAAACCCCCCTTTCGCGGGCTTTTCGCGGGCTTTTCGCAGGCTTTTCCTGCCTCGGAGACCCCCTAAATCAGGAAAAATGCTCAATGTACCCCCCTAAATTCGGAATAATTTCTCAGGAGTCCAAAGAGATGAGAGAAAAAAAGAAAAAACACCCCCTTTTTAAAGAAATCTCAGGGTGGAAAGTCAAATACACCCCTTTTTTTACAAAATTCTCGGGCCGGACTTTGTCGCACGAAAAATACCCCTTTACCGGACATTTTGGCAACACGCATGCGGTCATTCCGACCTTTGAGTGGGGGGGGGGGGGGGGGGGCCGGGTGATGACGATGACGATGATGAACATCATTGCTGATGCTGACATGATGATGACAACGTAGCCTATGAATATATGGATCTCCATCCATTGGTGAAAAATGAATAAAGACAAAGCGAGATATTAAAGGAATAGTTGAGTGTTGGTCAATACTCACATTAGCGAACGAAACTATGATCTAAACATAAAAAACATACAATAAATGTCTAAGAATGCATCATTGAAGATATAAATCCGAAATATTACATTAGAGTGAATTTATATGCAAAAAACCTGTTCGACTGCAAATGATTTTATTTATCAAAAATTTTACTTTCGAGGCGTGTTCAGTGTAATTGTATAGCGCCACCTCTCGGTCAAGCGGCAGCACACCGTGAATTTTCGCCAAGACGACGATCGGATATGGGCGTGCAAGTAATATCCGCGCGCTGACTGATTTATATTGTACACATTATGGTATGCGAGGCCTGCACATAATTGCATGGTCTGTGGTACTGGTAGCGCTATTGTTTTTTGAGCGCGATATGCGAATACTGTATGTGTATGTAGTGCGAGTACGCTCGACCTAGTAGTAGTGTATGTGTATGTATTGTACGTCGTATGACCCAGTTGATTACTTCTACAGTGTAAAGAAAGTGGTTTACTCTATCTATCAACCAATATGTGAGACAACGCAAGGGCAATTTTGTATTTCGTTTGTAGGAACAAAGCTGTGGAATGATCTCCCAGATGAAATTAGATTAAAAACATCGAGGTTATCTGTCCACCTACCTTCTATGTAAATGACGTGGGCCTTCGTTTTTCCTTTTATATTACTTGTCTTCCTTTTATAATATGTGAAGAGTTTCATTCCAAAAGGAGCCAAATCCACTTTGGGTACTTCTGAGTAAATTGCCTTTTTTATTTCTCCACTTTCCCTTTAGCCATGTATACCTTCATGTTGTTATATATGTTAAAGGTGTCACCCTGCATGGACCTGATTATCTGCCAATAATGATAAGAAAAAATCTTCCCTTCGGCTTTTCTGATGTTTACTAAATTTTTTGATTTTTTATTTTCGTGGATTTAGCTCCTTTTGGAATGAAACATGTTATTGTACCTAAAAAATAAAAAATAAATCATATTTTCTCAATAAAGTCACTGAAATTTTATTCAAATTTAGCAGCAAACCTTTCCTTTTAAATAATAATAGTGAAATCACACATAAATATAACCTTTCGAAAAGAAAGTAAACAACATTATTACAGTTTCATTCCAAAAGGAGCTAAATCCATTCAATTCCAAAAGAAGCTAAATCCATGTTTCATTCAAAAAGGAATTACTAAATCCACATTTTTTTTTTGGCACATATCGCACGACAACCAAATGCCCTAAGATGTTGATACCCACTTTGATAGAAAAATAAGGTTTTACAAAATGGAAAAATACTAGAAGAGAAAAGGTAAGAAAGAGTAAAGACGGATTGAGGACGGTAAACCCCAAACAAGAGACTCAAAAGATCTACCCCAGAATCCTCTCACCGGCACCAGAGTTGCCTAGGCCAATGATGGCCGAGAAGATTGCGCAATGTACCGCGCCGGTCTGGCAGGAAGGTGCCAATTGCGGTGAGGGTTTTCATGGACCAGAAGATCTGAGATTATATTATCCAAAAAAAAGAGATGAATATGAATTGACAAATAGTACCAAAAATAGAAGAAAAAAAAAGAAATAAAGTGAAAGGCGTAAATATTCTAAAAAAGAATGAAACGCCGATAATACCAAACAATTACAACAACACAAAATCTAAAAATTTGATAGAAATCAGAAATAACTGGTGGATTTTTTGTCTTATCATATGTTATAGGTCCAGAGCGACACCTTTAACATATATAACAACATGAAGGTACATGGCTAAAGGGAAAGTGGAGAAATAAAAAGAAATAAATTTAAAAAAATATTAAAAATTGTTGTATCAGTATACTATAATGAATAACAGTAGTGAATTAATTTAACATCTTACTTGATTCATACTTGTCCATAATGCAGTGTTTTTCAGTATTCTTATTTTGGTACTGCATGCAATTGTAAAGTTTTTAAAAAAAAGTGATTGTAACTTCTTGTAAATAAGTTGTGTTCTACAGTGCCTGTGTATTGCATGACCTACGTCAGTACGTGATAACTTGTAAATGTGTAAAGACATAAGATTTTAATATAATTATAGTCATGCTAAAATGAAGATACATAACATATTTTTATGGTGTACATTGAAAGCTTTATTCGGCCATAACTAACAGTTAAATTTACACAACATTATTGAGATGAATACAAATTATAATTGCTGAACTGAAGGCAATATTTAAACGTGATGTTGATTTCAACCATTGCATACAAACAGATCATGTGTATTAAAAAAGGCACATTTTTATTTAGCATCTATCGCTATGACAACTTTAACCGTCGTCATTAAGAAGGAGCAATATACTTTATTTGTATACCACCATGTCTTGTTACTTATTAGTTACTGCTTATTTATATACATCTTATCTTGTGTCTTTCATAAAAACTTGACATACTCTATAGGCAATGTGTAGATAAGTTTACCAAAGAAAAGTATCTATAACAGTAATGTTTCTACGCGCTTGACAAATATACTATAATACCCCGGTCATTTGATTCAGTGCTTGCCCGCACACAATGTTTTGACTAGTACGTGATCATACAAATTTTGCCGAGAAACTGCCTACTAATTGATATATTTGGTAAATTATTATATCTATTTGGACTTGATAGATATAACGCATGTGTCGCGCACTTGTGCGTAGTCCCATATACATCTTTCTGTGTACAGTGCTTGTAACTTTACCAAGACTGGGCCAATTTTTTTATCATTTCGATGATTCTAGAACCTTGCAGTACACACCAAGACTTATATGCTAGATGATCAACCTTTTCTGATCGATTCCACAACAATCCTTCCACAATGCAGTCGCATGACCATAACTGGTTTTATCTTTTAAGTTTCACATCTTACTTTATATATAAATGCTTTAAAAATTGTCTGAGTGATTCTTTTCCTTAATGTGTACGAGTATACATGTATACATACTCCATATCGATCTCAAATCCTGAATCATATCAGTTTCAGCACAAAATTAAGTATAGTTAGGTACATATATGTCTTTCATCTTCCCTAATGCTCGACTATGAATATCACCTCAAGTGATTAACATCCAACATAAGGTTTTTCAAAAAAATAGCACAGACATTTCAAAACTGGTCATGTCCTATACGCACACAAAAGACAATCTGCGTTGTGTGTACTGAGTTTCATATGAATCGATCAAACTACTTCCAATAGTTTGCTCACATACTTATTTTACACACTGCACATGCATTGAGTTTTATACTGTTATTATAATGCCTCATCAAAGATACCAAAACTATAAAATTGCTAAAACTTGGAAAGAATATGCTCCACAAGATTATTAAAACAAAATTGTATTCTTTGTGCAAAGCTTGGTTACCATGGAGGTACCTTAACAGACAGACACAACAAATGTGTCTTGCACACCCTCGGGTCAATCGGTATACCAAGTTTTATTACAATTTGCAAAAAAATTGGAAAAAATTTGACCCAGTTTTTTACAATAGACCAACAGAAAGACTCGCCTGCCCAACTGTATCCTTATTCCTTTATACACCCTTTCAAACTACAAAGTAGTTACAGGCAGCATATCTCTTGATGGTATAACCTTGAACCGCAATACTTTGGCGTTGAGCTGATTCACGTTCATTGATTCAAATGATGCATGAAACCAACTGTTTTGCTGTCTTGTGATCATTTCTCTTTTTCGCTTGCATTATTTTAGTCACATTGATTGCATTAAACAAAAAATGAAGACTATTTACAATAAGATATTCTACAAATCTTTCTTCTGTCCATGTTGATTTTCAACAGGTTCCGAAGTATAGTCTTTTTCATGATCGACTGTCACCTCAGTTACATGCACAGTCACTAAAACCAAACACATTGTTGACTCATGGTTTGACCTCTTGGCTGTAAATTTTATAATTACTACCGTAACTTCTTCAAGGAATATAGGTTGCCAAATAGATACAAATT